TTCTTCCTGTGATTGATTTCAAGTTTCAAAGCATTATGATCTGAGAGTGTGCATAGTATGATCTCGATTCTTTTATATTTATTGAGGGCTGCTTTATGTCCCAGTATGTGATCTATCTTGGAGAATGTGCCATGTGCACTTGAGTAGAAAGTAAATTCCTTGGCCTCAGGATGTAGAGTTCTAAATATATCTGTCAGATCCATCTGGTCCAAAGTGTCTTTCAAGTCCATTATTTCTTTAGTGATTTTCTGTCTGGTTGACCTATCCATTGCTGTAAGTGGAGTATTGAAGTCCCCTGCTATTAGCACATTCTTATCTATGAGCCTGTTTCTCTTTGTGGTTAATTGTTTTATATATTTAGGTGCTCCCATATTCGGTGCATAGACATTTATGATTGTTAGTTCTTCCTGATGGATAGACCCTGTAACTATTATGTAATGTCCTTCTTCATCTCTTGTTATTGTCTTTAATTTAAAGTCCAGTTTGTCTGATATAAGTATAGCTACTCCGGCTTTCTTTTGATTTCCTGTAGCATGATATATATTTCTCCATCCCCTTACTTTTAATCTGAAGGTAACTTCCAGTCTAAAATGCATTTCTTGTAGACAGCATACAGATGGATTTTGTTTTTTATCCATTCTACTACCCTATGTCTTTTGATTGGAGCATTCAGCCCATTTACATTCAGTGTTATTATTGAAATATGTGGATTTCAAATAAAATTTGATCATATTGACATGCTGTGTTATGACCTGCTTTTCTTTTAAGAGTACTTCATGGACATCTTTCTTTCAGTAAATGCATATCTGTAATATACTTTTTAATTTTAACTCTTAATTTTGAAATAATTTTAGATTTTCAAAAAGCTGCAAAAATAGTAAAGAATTCCTGTTTACCCTTCACTCAACCTCTTCTAATTTTAGCATCCTACAGAATCATAGTACACTGACCTAACCCAGAAAATTAACATTCATACAATACTAATAACTAATCTATTATTGAAGTTTTATCAGTTGTACCACTAATGTCTTTTTTATGGTCCAAGATTGAGTCCACAATCTGACACTACATTGAGTTATTATATATCCTTAGTCTCTTCCAATCTCGGATACTTCCTCAGTCTTAAATTTGTTTTAAGTTTATTTGTTTATTTTGAGAGAGAGAGAATCCCAAGCAGGCTCTGAGCTGTCAGTGCAAAGCCTGACATGGGCTCATGCTCATGGACCATGAGATCATGACCTGAGCCAAAGTCAAGAGTCAGACGCTTAGCTGACTGAGCCACCCAGGCGCCCCTCAGTCTTAATATTTTTAAAGAGCGCTAGCCGGTTATTTTTGTCTCTCAATTTGGGCTTTCCTGATGTTTTCTCATGATTAGATTGAATTTCTGCTTTTTTGGCAAGGATACCACATTTTTGGCATAAGGACTACGGAAGTGTTTATCCCCATTTCAGTGAATCATTTCAGGAGGTACTTGATGTCGACAGTGTGAACTGTTCAGCATTATTGCTGGTGATGTTAACTTTGGTCATACGATTAAGTGAGTGCCAAATTTGTCCATATAAAATTATTTTTCCCCTTGCAAATATGGCTCCTCATCATATTTTTTTCCTCACTGATTTTAGCATCCCTTGATGATCTTGCCTTTCACAGTTATTACTGTGAGGTCTTTCAAATGGTGATTTTCTATTTCTATCTTTCCTTCTACATTTGATCCTTACAGTTCTCTGTAAGGAAGAGCTTTCTTTGCTTGTCCACTTATTTTATTTATTCATTTATATCATAGTAAGATTTTTAACTATAAAATGTTTCTATCTCTGTATCCATCCACACATCCACATACATATATATCATAATTTATTAGGTAAATCACTGTTAATGGACATTGGGACTATTATTAGTATTATTTTAATATTTATTTTTGAGAGGGAGACAGAGCATGAGTGGGGGAGGACAGAGAGAGAGAGACACACAGAATCTGAAGCAGGCTCCAGGCTCCAAGTTGTCAGCACAGAGCCTGACACAGGCCTAGAACTCACAAACTGCAAGATCATGACCTGAGCCCCAAAGTTGGGTGCTTAACCGATTGAGCCAACCATGTGCCCCTGGGATTATTTTTTTAAGTATATTTATTTTGAGAAAGAGAGAGAGCTTGGGTGCAAGTGGGGTAGAGGCAGAGAGAGGGGGTGGAGGAGAGAAAGAATCCCAAGCAGGCTTTGCACGTCAGCGTGAAGCCCAGTGTGGGGCTGATTATGACCTAAGCCCAAGTCAGATGCTTGACTGACTGAGCCACTCAGGTGCCCCAAGGGATTATTTTTATTTTTTTAATACTCTGAGCACCATAATGAACATACAATTATTTCTCTGAGATAAATTTCCCTAAGAACAATCATTTCAGTGTCAAAAGTACTTAAAAAGTACATATTTCCCTGTAGAGAAGTTAATACAAATGTCACTCAAACAAGCAGCATATGAAAGTGCCCATTTACCCACACTAACAACAACATTTCTTATCAGCATCTAATTTGTTGTCTTATCATTTTGGGGAATGGGGCAGAATATACATGAAGGAAACACTTAAAAAAAATTTTTTTTTAATGTTGTATTTATTTCTGAGAGAGAGACAACGTGAGCAGGGCAGGGTCAGAGAGGAAGGCACAGAATCTGAAACAGGCTCCAGGCTCCGAGCTGGCTGTCAGCACAGAGCCTGACATGGGACTCGAACCCACGAACTGCAAGATTATGACCTGAGCCGAAGTCGGACTCCCAACCGACTGAGCCACCCAGGTGCCCCAGGAAACACTTTTTAGAGTGAGTGGAAATTACAGTGAGATCAAAGAAAGCTCATAGTTTAACATAAAACTTTCTCCTGAGTCTGCCCCACAGTGGAAATGGATGCTCTGTATGGAAGAAAGTTCCACATCATCTGAAATGTTCAAATCGATATTTAAAACCACTTGTTGGGAATGAGGTAAAAGGGGCTGGACAAACTGTGAGGCCCTTCTTGTTCCTGGGAGTATCTAACACATTGTCTTTGGCCATCTGCATATGTCTCTGAACTTGGATGAAATGAAGTGAACTTGGATGTCTTACTTTTCAGTGGTTGAAGGCCTCTCACTGTTGGACTTGGGAGTGTCTCCGTATTCTGGAGCAGTATTTCATGAAGTAAGTGTTCTTGTTTTCTTTTCTGGGTATTCAGAGTAGTTTATAGTCACAAATACCAAAGCCTAACCTCTGCTTTGTACAAACATTTGAAAAAATCTATTTTTGAAAATCATATTTAGAAACAGACCTTTTTTAGATGTCCTCTGCATAAGAAGGAGGTTTCACAATTGCAGTGGAAATGATCCAGATTTAAGATTGTGATTTACAGAAGCAGATGAGACTTCTGTAGAAGTTACCATTTTTATTGGCAAATAAATTGTAAACAGTTCCCAGTGCACAGATAAGTTGTATGCTAATTGGCCTGTAATTGGTTCTTTGGAACATGTTTTTCCATGAAAAATGTGTTAGCAATGCTGGTTTCTTAGAAAGTAAGAAAAGCCTATTTAACCCACAAAATTAGTTCTTAAGAATGGTAAAGTCATTCATACATCACCATCATCTCTTGCTTGAGTTCCTGCGACAGCTTCCTGACAAGTCTTTCTCGAGTCAGTCTTGCTTCTTTACTTTTAATTCTGGAGAGTCCTCTTTCTGAAATGTGAATCTGATTTTGTCAGCTCACCACTGAACTCAGGATAAAATCCAAACACCTTAGGGAGCGTACAAAGGCCTGTGGGCCCTGCTTACCACATTAACCACATTTCTTTCTACTCTCACCTCCCCTTACTATTGGTGATATCATTTTAAAGCAGAAGTCTTTTCTAATTTGAAATTTTAACCCCTTATTTTTACAGTTGTCTCCCTCATACACATTTGAGAACAAATTTATTTTTGTTTTTTGTTTTTTCTGTCTAGTATTTTGAAAGCATTCAGCTTGGTTCTCATGGAGATACCAATTGGCTTTTGCATTCATATTCATTAGCTTGTGTTACTATCTAATTGAACCACAATAATACGAGCTGCTAGCAAAAACAGGGACAATTTAAGACTCTTAATAAGCACACAATTCAGTTATTGGGAACAGATATGTGTGGGCATATAAAAGCATAGCCCACTAGCCACAAGGGCCCAGTGTGGAGTAGGCTTGGGCAGTGTGTTTTCTAGACAGAATAGGAACCCCTTGAGAGAGTTCTCACATACTTTCATTATGCCCCAGCACTGTATTCCCTCTTACCTATGTGTCTTTGCTCATGTTCTTATCTCCTTATCGAGGTCTATTCTTCCCTCTTTTTGTGATTAGCTTCACTGTTTAGATATTAGCTTAGAGTTTTCCTCCTTCTAGAAACTGTTCTTCCTGAGCATCTTCCCAAGCATCTTGTGCTTATACTTTTAATGCTCATATCATACTCTTGAAATTGTCTTTGTACTTGTTTTATCTGCTATGATATGTTCCTATGATATACTATGATATATTCCTCAGAACAAGTGCTGGCACCTTTCATTAAGTATTCCTAGTGCCTAGTCCTATATCTACATATGTATTCCAATCCCTCTCTTCTTTCTGTCTTTTAATAAAGATTTGTTAAGTACATACCAAATGCAAGCTGCCCTGCTTGGTAGGTGCTAGGGATACAAAACAGGACACGGTCTTTGGCCTCATGGTACTCATTTTTGAGAGTGGAAAAAAAAAGTTAATAAAAAGGAAACAGATTTCAGAGCAAAGAATATCACCAGGAGTATAGATGACTATTTCATAATGATAAGGTCAATTCTCCAGAGAACATAACAATCCTAATGTTTATGCACCTAATAACAGAATTTCAAAATATATGGGAACTGACAGAACTGTAAGGAGAAATAGACAAATCCACAATTATAGCCAGAGATTTCAATATCCTTCCTTCAAGGATTCATAGGACAAACAGACAAAATCAACAAGGATGTAGAAGTCTGGGATAGCATGTCAACCAACTTGACCTCAATGACATTTATAGAACATTCTGTCCAACAACAGCAAAAACACATAATCTTTTCAAGTGTACATGGAACATCTGCAAGATAGACCATATTCTGGGTCATAAAACAAGGCTTAATAAATTTAACAGGATTCAAGTCATACAAAGTATATTCTTTGACCACAATGGAATTAAATAAAAAATTAATACCAGAAAGATGTCTGAAAAATTCCCAAATATTTGGAAGCAAAATATACTCCTCAGTAACCCATGGATCAAAGAAGAAGTCAGAAGGGAAATTAAGAAGTATTTTGAACTGAGTGAAAATGAAAGCACAACCTATCAAAATATGTGGGATGTCACTAAGCGGTACTTGGGGGGAAAGACATAGTTCTAAATGCCTATATTGGAAAAGAAGAAAGGGCTCAAATCGATGACCTCTGTTTCTACCTTAAGAAACTAGGAAAAGAAGATAAATGAACCTCAAAGTAAGCAGAATAAAAGAAATAAGACCTAAGTGAAAATAAATGAAACAAAAACAATGGTGAGAATCACTGAAACAAAGTTGGTTCTTTGGGATGAACAGTAAACTTGATAAATATTTGGGAATTGGGATGTATTCAATATCTTGGTTGTGGTGATGGTTTCATGGATGTATACATAGGTCAAAACTTACCAAGTTGTATACTTTAGGGGCGCCTGGGTGGCTCAGTTGGTTAAGCATCTGACTTTGGCTCAGGTCATGATCTCACAGTTTGTGAGTTTGAGCCCCACGTTGGGCTCTCTGCTGACAGCACCGACATATGATACCACTTCATATCCTCTGTCCCCCTCCTCTGTTCCTCTCCTGCTCACAATCTCTGCCTCTCAAAAAAATAAACATTAAAAATTAGTATGCTTTAAATATGTATAGTTTACTTTATATTAATTATACTTCCATAAAGCTAAGGTTAAAAAAAGTGAGATTTCAATTAAATGGTAAGTAAGTACATGTAGAAAAATAAAACTGGGTAAAGGGATAAAGAGAGATAGTCAGGGCTGCCTGAGTGGCTCAGTTGGTTAAGTGCCCGACTCTTGGTTTCAGCTCAGGTCATGATGTCATGGTTCGTGAAATCAAGCTCCACATCAGGCTTCATGCTGACAGCATAGAAACTGCTTGGGATTCTCTCTCTCTTCTCTCTGCCCTTCCCTGCACTCAGTCACTCTCTCAAAATAAATAAATTTGATAATTAAAAAAAGTGACAGTTGGGGCACCTGGGTGGTTCAGTCAGTTAAGTGTCTGACTTTGGCTTAGGTCATGATCTCATGGTTCATGGATTGGAGCCCCACATTGGGCTCAGTGCTGACATCTCAGAGCCTGGAGCCTGCTTCGGATTCTGTGTCTCCCTCTCTCTCTGCCCCTCCCCTGCTTGTACTCTATCTCTCTCTGTCTCTCGAAAATAAATGTTAAAAAAAAAAAAAAAGAGTTGACAGTCATGTATGTGTCACTATTTTAGATAGTGTGTTCATGGAAGGCACTCTGAAGAAGTGAAATTTCAGTAAGAGATCTAAATGAAGCCAGCATCATAGCATATATGATGGCCCTGATTTGAGAAGTCACTTAGCATTTGTGAATTGGATAAAGAAGGCCAGTGTTAAGGCAGAATGAGCAAAGAGGAGAATAATAGAGACAAATTATAAGAAGTTAGAAGTTGGATTATGTAGCACTTTTTATACACATAGTTAAGAGTTGGTTCTCATATCTATCTGTCTATCCTTAATGTAATTATTTTTAATATCCATAATTTATGATATGAAGGCCAGAGCTTCCTCCCAGACTCAAATTTATAAATTCTCAATTGGCTGGGGAAGTCATTTGGGATACTTCTTGTCTAATTTGATTTCTAGGAAGAATTCGTTCAAGTCCTCAATGGTCATTTGCTCAAATGGAATTATGTTCTTCATCTTCTCTAGTCTCTTGTAGTCCTCAGTCCTGGCCTCAGAGAGAGGCAAAAACTCAGCACAACTTTTCACATCTCCGTTTTTCTCAACATGCTGACACATAAGCCTTCAGGGCATTAAACTTCTCAAAGTCGTTTGCCAAGCCAGCCTTTACTACATTGGCCTTGTATAAGCCCAGTCAATAGCAGGTGGATACTTAGGTTTAATAGCCAGTGTGGTTATAAGGGTCTCATTCCAAGACTTGAGGGAATTAACAGTGGTCTTTTGGTCTCAGGGTATGATCTTCCCAAGGGCTACTCAGTAAATGCCTTTTAAAGTTTTTGCCTAGCCATCTTGAGATCCTTCTCCAATCCTGGTGGCCCACAGTAGCAAGTAGATTTTGTTTTTACTATGCTTGGAAGACATGGAGACTTTTAAACCAGGAGAGGAATGATTATATTTATTTTACATTTAATAAATATTGCTGTAGATACTGTGAGGGTAATTGATTCTAGGGGCAAGCAGGAAAATGATTAGGAAGGATGCTTACACAGTAGTCTAAGCAGGATGATGGTGGCTTGAGGCTAGTGTAGTAATGACAAAGATAGTGAAGAGTTATTAGTGAAAAGTGAAAGACAGTGAGAAGTGAAAAGTGATTCTTTAAAAAAAGTAATTAGATTCTGGTTATACTTTTAGAAGTAGACTTGTCAATAGATTTGATATGAGATATGAAAGCAAGACTGGATTCAAGGATATGATTCAAGGCTAGGAGGTTTTTTGTCCTGAGAAACAGTGAATGGTGGTGTTGTTTAATGAGACGAGGCATACTAAGGGAGGAGCAGGTTTTAGGCAGTGAGAAGAGTTCAGATTCAGTTCAGTTCTACCTTCTGACATTCACACTTGTTGTGGTCCTCTCTCAAATCGTACCAGAGTTAGCCTGTATGACCAATAAAAAATATGCAGAAATAATGATATGTCACATCCTAGGTTAAGTTATAAAAGACCCTATAGCTTATGTCTTGGGCTTTGTCTCTCTTGAGAGACAGACAGTTGACAACCTTTTTGAGGAGTTTTGCTCTAAAGGAGGGCAGAGAAATTATATGGTAGCTGAAGGCAAATATCTAGTGAAAAAGTTTTAAACATGACAATCTGCCCTATATCTATTGTGGCATTGTTTATGATAGCCAAGATATGGAAACACACACACACACACACACACACACACACACACATGAACACACACACACACACACATACACACACAGAGGAATATTATTTATCCATAAAAAAGAACGAAATCTTGGCATTTGCAGCAACATAGATGGACCTAGAGGGTGTTGTGCTAAGTGAAATAAGTCAGACAGAGAAAGACAAATACCATATGATTTCACTTAGAGTGGAATCTAAAAACCCCAAACAAATGAATAAACAAACAAAAAGCAGAAACAGACCCATAAATACAGAGAACAAACTGATGGTTGCCAGAGTGGAGTCAGGTGGGGGAGATGGGCAAAATGGGTGAAGAGGAATGAAAGATACAGGCTTTCAGTTCTGGAATAAAAGGGACAACATGGGGAATGTAGTCAGAGGTACCGTAATAGCATTGTATGGTGAGAGACGACAGATGATAGCCACATATGTGGGGTGCATAACATAATATATAAACTTGTTGAATCACCATGTTGTATGCCTGAAACTAACGTAACACTGTGTGTCAACTATACTTCAATGAAAAAAAAAAAACCAAAAACATGTGGGGGCACCTGGCTGGCTCAGTCAGTAGAGCATGTGACTCTTGATCTCAGGGTTGGGAGTTCAAGCTCCACATTGGGTATAGAATCTACTTTAAAAAAAAAAAAAAGAATATGTAAAAGGTCTCTCAAAACTTAATAAAATAAAATAATAAAATAGCAAAAATAAATGAGAATCTGCATATATGGTTGCTGATGGGAATAATCCTGTGGATAGAGAAGCTGATGATATAGGGAAGAGAATAATTGAATGAACAGTGTCTTTGAAGAGGCAGGAACGAATGGGATACATTTCACAAGGGGAGAATTTGACTTCAGGTAAGAAAAAAGGAAGTTCCTCTGTTAATAAAGAGTATAGGTATAGATAAAGGAAGTTGATCAATGTGTAGTGGGAAAATAAGGTGGTTCTCATTTAATTGCTTCTTTTCTCAGTGAAATAAGAAATGAAGTTGTCAGATGAAAGTGAGAAGTGGGGAGGAAAGTTGGAGGTTGAGGACAGGGGAAGATGTGAAATAGTCCTTTCTGGAAGACTATGTCAAATGAATGAATGGAAGAGCCGAATCTAGCCATTTAACCATTATTTAAAATGTTTCTCTGGGAGAATGCAGTCTTAGCTACAGTGAGAGAGCCTAGGACATATTCTTACTCCTCATTGTGTGTGTGTGTGTGTGTGTGTGTGTGTGTGTGTGTGTGTGAGTAAAAGGGGATAATGGTATGAGGTAGTATTTTCCAGCTATAAGAAGCCATGATAACTATACTTGCGTAAGATAACCCCATTAGGACTGAACAATTGCTTCCTCCAAACATAGTAGGGACGACCTCAAACTTGGAGTCCCTTTCTCCTCTTTCCTGAATATTGGTTAATTTGCTTGTAAGCTCAATGTTCATAAATTAAGAGCTACTATAGTTTCTTTAAATAATAAAACATAAAGAAATAAAATTAAGGGTGCCTGGGTAGCTTAGTTGCTTGAGCATCCAACTTGATTTTGGCCCAGGTCATGGGATTGAGCCTGCATTGGGCTCCATGCTGACTGTGGAGCCTGTTTAAGATTCTCTCTCTCTCTCTCTCTCTCTCTCTCTCTCTCTCTCTCTCTCTGTCTCTGTCTCTCTCTGCCCCTCTGCCCCACCTGTGCTCTCTCTCTCCAAAATAAAAGAAAAAAATTATGTCAAGCCAAATGAAAAGAGTACTTTGGAAGAGAAAGCTCATCATTCCTTCCCTTCCTCGCCCCTTTTTTTAATCTTCAACTGATTTTACTATCTAGTTCTTAGGGAAAAGTAAGAATATGTAAAAAGGGAGAAGAAAAATCTGCACAGGAGAGAAAAAGAGAACTTTGGCAACCACATCAGATTTTATGACTATCTTCAACAAATGTTTCTATTTTATGTTTAGCCAAGTACTGATCGTAAAATTGTGACTTCATCCAAAATTTGCCCTATCCTGACTGGGAATGGTCACTCACATGGAAATGTAGCATGAAGACAAATTATATTCAGTGTATACTTCTCTATAATAATCTGATATACAGTTAAACTAACTACTGTGGACATGTTAGTTCATTGCAGAAACCAGCCCATTTGCTGATAGGCTTTTTGAGAACTATTCTGTCATTTCTGAGACCTACTTAGTGCCACTCTAAACTATCTGAAGCATCAAAGCACTTTGAAAGCAGGCTCTTGGTAATATAAATATCAAGTTACTACTTCTTACTGACAAAGATAAATGCAAAAAAGAATCCATTAGTAGATAGTTGTAAGAAGTTTAGTTCTTTTAGAACTTTGAAAGGCAAAGTTTATGCCCTTGTTTTCAAAAGGAAGTAAAAAGTTGATGTCAGGTAACTAACATACTCAGGTTTACTGTATAGGCACTGTGCTAAGCACTTTGTACCCATTATCAGTTACTCCTCCCAAGAACCCAGTGAAATAGGTCACTATCTTTTTTTTTTTTTAATGTTTATTTTTGAGAGAGAGAGCGTGAGCATGAACAGGGAGGGAGACACAGAATCTGAAGCAGGCTTCAGGCTCTGGGCTGTTAACACAGCCCGATGTGGGACTTGAACCCACAAACCACAAGATAGTGACCTGAGCCAAAGTCAGACATTTAACTGTCTGAGCCACCCAGGTGCCCCAAAATAGGTGGCTATTCTTATTTTGTAGCTGAGGAATCTAAAGCTTAGAAGGGAAAAGTACACAGGTGGAACCTGAATTTAAAGCCTGTTAGTGACCTTTGCAATATTATAGGATATATTTTTGCATGTGATTGGGCATTGGAAAGAGGTGCTCCTGAGTCACCAGCAAGAACTCACTAAAACCGAGTTATGCACTATCTTTCTGGTTCTGGTGGATTAGTGAACTGAGTTATAGTAGCAGATCAACCCTCCAGCCAAGAAAAACTAGGAAAGGAGGATGGATAGGAAAAAAAAGAATCTGTTTGGTGGTATTGGAAAGCACCAAGATAGCCAGGATTACTGAGGGGCTGCAATCCCAGAGAGGAAAATACAAAATGTGAGACTGACAGTCTGGGCTGCTTTCTCCCGATATATTTATCAATTTGTAAGTGGCATAGGCTGAGGTCAGAGAAAAAAAACAGAAATTGGCTGTTAAGAGGCTAAGTAGAGCTATTGGCAGTCTCACAGTGCTGGAGAAATAAAAAAAGTCAAATGCATGGCCAACCAAGGCTGAAGGGCTCTGGTAAATGTCTTGGCTTCCAGTTAGGCCCTCAGAAGGGCTACACTGAAAGAAGGAATAAGGGTAGATGACATATAGACTATTAAAAAAACAAATCAATGGGGTGCCTGGGTGGCTCAGTCTGTTAAGCATCTGACTCCTGTTTTTGACTTGAGTCATGAACCCAGAGTTATGGGATTGAGCCCTGCATAGGGCTCCATGCTGAGAATGGAGCTTGCTTGAGATTCTTTCTCCCTCTGCCCCTCTTTCCCAGTTGTGCTCTCTCTTGCTTGCTTGTGCTCTCTCTCTCTCTCTCTCTCTCTCACACACACACACACACACAAATCCAGCTTAGTTAGCTAAACTCTAATTAGATTAAGGTGATGCTATTCTATTTAATTGCTTGCCAGAAATTTAAAGAAATCCTTCCTGGAAGAAAATAGCCTTATCCAGAACCTCTACGATTTTTCATATATAATGTCCATCATTCAGTCGAAAGTTACCAAGTATAATAAAAGAGAAAAAAATGGGCACCAAGGATTCACAGGTGATTCAGATATCAGAGTTGTCAAACTTGGACTGTAAGATAACTGTGGTCAGTGATTAATATGCACAAAAAATAAGTGACAAGGTAGAGAATTTCTCCAGGGAACTGGAATATATAATAATTAATCAAATGGAAATTCTAGAACTGGAAAACATAGTAGCAAATTAAGAATGCAATAGGCAAATTTAACTACAGATTACACAAAGCTAAAGAGAAGATTCATGGGCCACCTGACTGGCTCAGTCAGTAAAGCATGTGACTCTCGATCTTAGGGTTGTGAGTTCCAGCCACAGGTTGGGTGTAGAGTTTACTTAAAAAATAAATAAAGTCTTGGGGCACCTGGGTGGCTCAGTTGGTTATGTGTCCGACTCTTGATTTCAGCTCACATCGTGATCTCACTGTTCATGAGTGCCTGCTTGGGATTCTCTGTCTCCTTCTCTCTCTGTCACTCTCCCATGCATGCATGCTTGCTCTTGCTCTCACTCTTTCTCAAAAATAAACAAAAAAAATTTTTAAATTAAAAAAAAAATCTTTAAGAAAAACGAGAAAGGACTCATGATCTGGAAGATAGGTCTATAGAAAATATCTAGACTAAAGCTTGGAAAGAAAAGGATAGAAAACAGAAAAAAAGAGAGATCTATGAGATATAAAACATTTCAGAAGACAGAAGAAGGGAAAACATTTCCCAATTTATTTTATGGGTTCAGAAATCTTGGTCTCCTATAGAGTTCCCCTTGGCTATTCTATATGCCTTAGAACTAAAGTTTACCTCATACCTTTACTTCTCTTGAAACTGATAATAGTAAGGTTTAAGTTAATTTGTTTGTTTGTTTGTTTGTTTTTCTCCTGCAGACTCCATTAATAATATACCTCTTTCATTTCCTGATTGACTATGCTGAATTGGTATTTATGGTAAGTAACCTTCCACCTGCAATCAACATGTATATATCTTTAGAGTATCTATAGAGTATCTTGTTGTTTTTAAGAAAAATTATCTTTTAGGAACTTAGGAGTTTCTCAGAGTATAAAAACAAAAACCTATTCTAATTGAATTCAAGGAAACTGTGATATATTATGGAAGTATGGGAAGTAGTCTCTGACATCTGACCAGTTCTTATTCCTTATAATTTTAAAATTTGATTTTTGGACTATGTAGTCTCAAACTTTCTAGTGCCAAGATTCTATGATTGGCTTTAATTGTGGTGCCAGTGTAGAGGGTATCCTGACTTTCCTAAGCATTCTGCCAAGAGATTCCATGCAGTGGAGATAGGCCTGATGAGACTTTTAGGGGTAGTGACCTTCAACATTGAGATGACAGGGCTTTTTTGAGAGACAGTAATTTGAAACACTTGCCTAATGTAAAGTTGAAAATCTGAGTCAAGTAGGAGATCAGCTGAGGTCTTCCTTAATTAATTATAATAATTCCATAATTATAATGGCTGCTGTTTATTGAGGACTTATTTAGTGCTCGGCACTTGACATATATCAGGCCTGCAAACTATTGGGTATTATTACTACTTTATAGAAAACTTAAGTAACTTGCAATTAAAGAACAGATGTGGTACACCAGGGTTACATAAGCCTTGATGGGCCCTAATCCTTAAAGTTTTCCAGTCAAATCTTCCTGAAAGGCTTTATCTTTGGGTAGTCAGAGTGAAGGTTGAAGTTCTGCCTAACTGGACGAATTCATACTGAATAACACACCACCATTCAAGGTGGCAGCATTTCCTCACTCTTATACTATCATTTCTCTTTCTCTTGACAGGTAACTGATGCACTCACTGCCATTGCCCTGTATTTTGCAATCCAAGACTTCAATAAAGTCGTGGTAAGTAGTCAGTGGGTGAGACAAACTGGTGGAATTTTTTAGTAGCCTTCTGGTCTCTGTTATTACAGAAAATCAAAGGTCATGTACTTAGGGATGTAACTGTTTAAAAATACTAAGAAGTAGGAATGAAGCTTCTGGCCTATTAAGCCAGCCCTGCCATGGCCAAACCTAAACCAACAAGACAGCTTCACTAATGGACACAGAAATGTCAGTTTAATCTCTGTAGCTTAATATCCATTCACCTGCAACTTTAGACTTTCTGGAGCAGAGCTGAACTACAATTATAGTAATGAGGGCCCCTAGTAATCTTCCTTTCATGAGTACAGCTTTTAACTCACTGTGTTATACCTGAGGTAAAATTGGATTCCCAGTGTAGTTTCTGTTTCCCTACAGAGAATTAATCTTATTTGGAAAATTTGGCATGTAGTAAATGCCTGTAGAAAGTTTTGGGTTTTTAAAATCAGATGTAATCTTTTTTTTAAAGTTTATTTCTTTCTTTATTTATTTAGAGAGAGAAATAGTGAGCAAGCAGGGGAGTGGCAGAGAGAGAAGGAGAGAGAGAGAATCCCAAGCAGACTCCATGTTGCCAGTGCAGAGCCTGACATGGGGCTTGAACCCACGAACCATGAGATCATGACCTGGGCTGAAGTCAGACACTTTACCACTGAGCCACCTGGTATCCCACCAGTCTAGAAAGTATTGATGTAAACTTTAGTCTTAATCCATATGTAATAGCCAAGGGAAATGGTATATCATGACCATTTTCATTTTCCTGGGTTCTGAGAGTTAACAGATTAACCATGTGTACTATCCATGTAGTTATTTTAAAACTTGGCTGCAGTCCTCCTTGATTGGCTGGGAGCCACTGAGATAATTTAGACTGGGGAGAGAGAAGGCTGCATCCCACTGGTGGTGTCTGCGGTTTATTTTCACTTCTGTTACCAAGCAATAGAATCAGAAGTAGCAGTCTGCCTTTCTGTGGCACTGGTCATTAGTAACAAAGCTGGTGAATTCTACAATTATGGACCTCAAAGAGATTTATAAAATATCTAGATTGGGAGTTCTTAACTTGGAGTCCATTTATAGACTTAATAGGCCTATTAGACCAGAGAGTGTACATCTTAAACCAATGGAGCATTTGAGACAACATAGATAAACCTGAGAGCATTATACTAACTGAAATAAATCAGACAGACAAATGCTATATGACCTTATTTATATGTGGAATCTAAAAAAGTAAAACTGGGGAGCCTGATTGGCTTAAGCAGTAGAAGATGCAATCTTGATCTCAAGATCATGATTTCAAGCTCTACCTTGGGAGTAGAGCTTACTTTAAATAAACTATAAAACAAAAAAATAAAAAGCCAAACTCCTAGAAACAGAGTAGATTGATGGTTGACAGGGGGTGGGTTTGGAGGTAGGGAAAATTGGAGGGTGTTGGTCAAAGGGTACAAACTTCCAGTTGTAAGATGAGTACATTCTGGAGATCTAATGTACAGCATAGTGACTATAGTTAACAATATTATACACCTGCAACTTGCTACAGGAGTATATCTTAAATCTTCTTACCACCCCCCCCACCCCCAGCACAGGAATTATGTGAGGTGATAGATGTGTTACCTAACCTTACTGCAGTAATCATTTTGCAATACGTACATGTATCAAATCTTATTGTACATTTTAAACTTATACAATATCATATGTCAATTGTATTTCAGTAGGATTGGAAAAGAAAAGACAATTGTAGTGACTGAGGTGAAATGCTTCAACAGGATTCCTTTGAGGGCTAGAGATGATATAATTGGGTGTGAAATTCATAAGCTGAGGAATGCAGAGATAAATAGCAATGGTTATTTTCTTCCCCAAGATAGATTGTGTATATAGACCATAGTCTTTGTTCTTTGAAGTTATATGCTAAAATATTTAGGGGTGAAGTGTCATGATATCCGCAGCTTACTTTCAAATGGTTCAGAAAAAGAATTTGCGTGGGGCACCCAGGTGGCTCAGTCAGTTAAGGGTCCAACTTCATTATGGGTCATGATCTCATGGTTTGTGAGTTTGAGCCCCACATTGGACTCTGTTCTGACAGCTCAGAGCCTGGAAACTGCTTTGGAGTCTGTGTCTCCATCTCTCTTTGCTCCTCCCCTGCTCACTGTAAAAGTAAATAAACGTTAAAAATAATATTAAAAAAAAGAAAAATAATTTGCATATTTGTGTGTTTAGAGATAAAGGAAATGTGGCAAAATGTGGCAAAATTAGTAGATCTAAGTGTTTTATTGAATTATTCTTTCAACTTTTCTATAGTTTGTAAATTTTCAATAAAAAACACTAGGGAAAAAGTAGATCTATGTCTGTCAGTGTGTATACACATGCATGTGCACACACACACACACACACACGCGCGCACACACACAGTATAGATGTGATATGTGTGAATATCCAAAGGAAGGTTGGTAGCTTTCATTTAAGAACACAGTCAGCCAGATCTTTTCAACCAAAATGTAAAACTGAAATGTGTTTTGGTGGAAGTTGATTAGAAATGCCAGCATCATATGTACTCTTTCTTTTCCTGTTCAAGTGTCATAAAAATACCACACATACACCCCAATTAAAACAATTTTTTAATGGTGGGGGAAGCTTAAGGGTAAGTAATGAAGCTAGGTTTCATAAATGAAATGTTTCTTAACAAAGTTAGGCTTCAGTGTCAGTAGAAGAGATATCTTTAATTTAGAGTAATGATAATTTTAATTCATTTGTTTATTATTTGAGTTTATATGGAAACAAAGAATTTTTTTCTTTGTGTGATTTAAAGAGGTTGAGAGAAAACCAAATGAACTCTTGTTGATACCCTGTTTTTTTTTATCATTTTTTAAATGTTTTTTTATTTATTTCTAGGAGAGAGAGAGAGAGAGAGAGACAGTGTGAGCAGGGGAGGGTCAGAGAAAGAGGGAGTCACAGACTGAAACAGGCTCCAGGCTCTGAGCTGGCAATCAGCACAGAGCCCGATGCGGGGCTCGAACCCAGGAACCGCGAGATCATGACCTAAGCGAAAGTCGGACGCTTAACCGGCTAAGCCACCCAGGCGCCCCGATACCCTGTTTTTTTAGCACACAAAAACATTCTGTTATCACCAAGACTGAATTGAAATTTGGAATAGTTTTGTTTCTCCATCCTCAGAATTCAGCCTACTGGAACATTAGGTTTCTTGGTCACAACAAGAGTTTTATTTACACTGTGTAACTCATTCTGAATGGCAGATTTTGATGATGTGGATAGAGTATCAGCACATGTCTTGCCCAAATCTCCCCTACTTTGTCAGAATGGGCCCATTGCATATGGAAGCATTTTAGTCCTGCTAGGATTTAAGACCAGATGCCTGGTAACACAACCATGTCTACACTCAGACACGTTCTCAGGTCATTAAATCAGCAAGGCTACCCATCTGGAAAAATATGATGCAAAGGTGGGTTCCATCCCCAGCTCATCTCCAGCTGTTAACCTATGGAATATGAATGCTGATTGATTAGGACCAGTGGATTCTCACATGTCACATCTACCTTACTTAACAAAAGCAGTGTTTTTCATCTAGTCTGTCCTTTGCTGAGATTGTACTTTCTATTTGGAACTCAGAATTCGTGTTAAAAAGTTGCTTGTGGTTTGAGAGGAAGTGATAAAAACCTGTCTCCCCTTAATATGATTAGAGGGTTGTAAATTGGGAGCATAGGCTCCTGAACTTGGAATGTGGTAAGGCTAACAGTGGGAGATTTGGTGGGAGAGGAGTATTCACTCCTCCACCTTCGGACACCCTAGTTTTGGGGGATGCAAGTAGGTATAGACACAGCTTCAACGATTAGAAAAAGCTCTTTATTTGAAGCAGGGGAATCATGTCCTTGTAAAGCCAAATCTTGCAAAGGACAGGGAGAGGCCGCATAGAGAAGTGGTTAGAAGGGAAAGAAAACTCCACCCTGGAGATTTTTTTTTTTTAATTCAGAAATGTCTATTGAAATACAACACGCAAATGGAAAAGTGCACAGGCGTCTGTGTATGAAGTGATCAATATCACAGAGACAGTGCACCCAGGTAATTTCCTTTTAGGCCGCTTTGAACCTCTCCTATGATAGTTTTAAATCTCATCATTGTCAAGGCTGCTGAATATATACATATATATTCAGGGTCAGAGAGAGAGGGAGACACAGACTCTGAAATAGGCTCCAGGCTCTGAGCTGGCAGTCAGTTCGGGGCTCGAACCCACGAACCGCGAGATCATGACCTAAGCAAAAGTCGGACGCTTAACCAACTAAGCCACCCAGGCCCCCCTACTACTAAATCTATGCCAGAAATAAGTGTTTACTTGTGTTCCTGTGATAACTTTTCTATTTTCTTTTGAATTGAAATATGGCTCTTTAAAAACTTTTTAAATTTTCCATTTAAAAAATTCTGAAATACCTAAGACTTGCAAAAATATGTAAAGAATAATATGCACTGTGAACTTACTTCAGCTTAAAAAATGAAACATTACACATAAAGTTGCCTCAGAGACTTTCATCTCCTTATTCTTCCTCTCACCAGTTACCACTGTTGTGAATTTAGTGTTTATCATCTCCACACAGGACCTTAACTTTTACTACTTTTGTACATATCCCTAAATAATACGTAGTATTATTTTGCATGCTTTTAACTTTGTGTAAATGGTACAGTGCAATATATATTCTGTACATGCCTTTTTCATCATTAAATCTTTAATCATGCCCAGATACTGCATGGCTCCTCTGCAGTGCTCTCTTTTATAATCAATTGCAGCATTGAATTTATACTGTCAAAATAAGATTCTCAGGTTATTAAATCAGCAAGGCTACCCATTTTAGGTTCAGAGGCTTTTTCCATCTATAGTCTGACCCATGTTTGCTTATAGGGTTGCCTACCTTTTTTTCATTCTGGAGCACACCCATGAACTTGTTGGGACACACCAGGGAAGGCAAGAGCTTTCCACCCCCATCTCCCTCCCTCCAGACTATCCAGCTGCCCAGGCACACCAAGCCCTCCTCCTCCTTTTCTTCATCATGGCTATTCCCCACTCCCTCTGTAGAAGTCAAAAACTTGAAACAGGAGAACTTGGAAGAAAACCTGGGATACTGTGGCATTCAGGGGATCATTTTTCTTTGCATGAAAATATTTTGCTTTGCTGATGGAACTTTGGAGTCCTTAGGCCACTCATGATAATTCTTCAACAGGGCTGGGAACATTGCTTTGCCAGTTATTCATTCAGCCACTCAATAGATATTTATTGTTTGCTCACTGTGCCAGGTATTGGCAAATAAACATGGTCCCCGTCCTCACGGAACTTATAGTCTAGTGATGGAGACAGATATTAGTCACATAAATAAAAAAGTCATAACTATGAACAGCGGTATGAAAGAATGTGTATTAATAGGGACATTCTACCTACTTTGAGGGGGGTTAGTGTGCCTTCCTGAGGAAGAAATGATTTAACTGAGATCTAAAAACTCTGTGGGAGCTAACCAGCAAAGAGAAGAGGTTGTTCCTATTCAAATGCAAAGGCCTGGGAGCAGGAGGGGTATGGCATGTTCATGGTGCCAGAACCCAGAAAGTGAGAGGAGAAGTGGGAGGTGGGTGTGAGATGAGCCTGGACAGGTAGGGCCAGCCCAGGTGGGGCATGTGGGCCATGGAAGGACCACTGTTTTCATTCTAAAAGCAATGGGAAGTAATGTGCTTTGTCTTTTTTTTTTCCTTTTTTTCCAGTTTAAAAAGCAGAAACTCCTCCTAGAACTAGACCAGTATGCCCCAGATGTGGCCGAACTCATCCGAACCCCTATGGAAATGCGTTACATCCCTCTGAAAGTGGCCCTGTTGTAAGTATTCTTTGACAAAACAGGGCTCGGTGCCAGTGAACGCGAGGAAAATCTGATGAGACTTTCTCATGTTGTTTGTTGTATTTTTGGAGATCTGCGGTCTTAGTCATCAAGTACTTGCTGTGGTTCTGTTGCACAACTGGGGTTCTGGCCAGCAAAACAGACAGAGCCATTCTGTCTCTGTTGGGACAAAGCCTCACACAGGGACATGCACAATCAGCCCTTCACAAATGCTTTTTCACTCCATGCTGATCTGGGCTCCAGCCTACTTGTAACCCGTGTTTCTTTAAAAAAAAAATTCTTTAATTGTATATATGGATTGAATAAAATTCTGATCTTTATATGGCCATTATTTTATTTTGAGCAGCTCATATGTTTTAAATACAATTGGTCCCCTAGTCCCCCATTGGTAGTTTAGAAAACTATAGCCAGATAGACCCATCCCAGCTGGATGACCAGTCTGGGAGAGTGGAACTTATTGAAGCTCTTTAAAAGAATTCTCTAGGAGTACTCAGTTCTGCCAGGAAGTTTAATTTTTTCAGGTTATTCCCGTTTATATTCCGGAGATAGGCAAATGTGAATAATTATTCAGTCAACTCATAGTCATTAAATATGAATAATATACTAGCTTCTAGGGATATACTGTAAACAAGACGGACAAGTTTCCTCATTGAAAAACATGACCTTAGAACTTCAGAATTAGAAGGGGCTTGTGAGGACAGCTTATTCAACCCTCTGTTTGTATGTGAATCTCCTATTCAGTATTAGGTGGCTCTGCAGCTGCTTCTTGAACATCACCTGCTACTTAGAAATGGCTTTTTTTCCCTCTCCCACCAAACAACTTTTATTTCTATGTATTTCAGAAATACTGGCAGGAACTACCTAATTAGAACCAGAGGTTTAGCAACATTTATGAATCCCTTATGGACTAATTTATCTCCTGGGGATACTTTTATAATAGCACCAGCCATTTCTTTAAAGGTTGTATAACAAGCCCATCTGTAATTCTTGTAAAAAAACACCAACAATTTCTGGGCCTTTGGCTTTAGAACTGCTAATCTTACAGCCCTGGGAGGTATTGGATTTAAGGTCTTTATTGGTGAATAATAATTCTAATCTTTCCCTGAAACACTGGTATGTTTCTTCCTATCTAATAATCAGAATTATGTAACTGGTTTCCCTTTTCACTTTGTCTGCCAGGAAACTCAGAGCCAGATTTGAAGCTGATTATTACAGTGCTGTAGAAAACCCATTTGGTCTTTTTTTCCCTGGCCTTTTTTGTTTTGTTTTGTTTTATTTATGCTTTTCCTGGTCTTGATTTTTTTGTTTCTATTTTTATTTTGCTATTATTTTTTCTTATCTGTTCTCATTTGAGCTGCCTTGAATCTTCTGTAGAAGCAGGATAGAAATAAATAAAATAATAATCTATTTTGACTATATAAGATTTCCCTAATCAGCATTTTAAATTCATTTCTCAGGGGCGCCTGGGTGGCTCAGTCGGTTAAGCATCCAAATTAGGCTCAGGTCAAAATATCACAGTTAGTGGGTTCGAGCCCCGAGACGGGCTCTGTGCTGACAGCAAGCTCAGAGCCTGGAGCCTGCTTCAGATTCTGTGTCTCCCTCTCTCTCTGACCCTCCCCTGCTCACACTGTCTCTCTCTCTCTCTCTCTCAGAAATAAATACAACATTAAAAAATTTAAAAAATCAGTAAATTCATTTCTCAGTCCATTCCTTCCCATCTCAAGAAAAGACTAGGTTTTTGAGCTTAATTTCTTCCCAGTAGAAGTTCAAGATGTCCTATGAAGTTCTGTGACAACCAGCTCATTGAATTCAGCAGACATTTACCCTTTACTTGGGATCTGGCTTGACTACCCAGAGGGCTAAACCGAAGCAACTCTGACATCTCAGAAGAAAGGGGGGTTAACCTGTGTCAGAGCTTAGGAGCCCAATTGAGGAAAAATTACCTCCTGGTTTTCAGAGACAACTGTAGCCATTCCTAAAATATCTGGCTCTGTAGGAGTTGGTAAGATTTTATCATTTATGAAATCTGAAATAATAGAGAGAACATAGGCTTTAGAGCCAGAAGGTCCTGATTTTGAATGTATTTATTAACTTGTGAAACCTTGGGCAAATTACTTAACCACTGAGTCTCAGTTTCCTCTTGGAGGAATAATGGTATCACTAGTTTACTGGATCTTTGTGATGATATACCACAGAGCATGGAACAGGCAGTGAATGTTCTGTATGTTCACTGGTACCAACACCATTTCATTCTCTTTACTTAAGAGACCTCATTTCTAAGAAGTTGCCTTCCCTTAAGTATGGTTTTAGTAAATCTCTTGAATTGCCTGCCTGTGGTGGCCAGGACTCCCTGGTCCTTTGACTGGACTTACTGATGCCAATTTTGTATGTTTTTCCCCCCAGCTATCTCTTAAATCCCTACACGGTCTTGTCTTGTGTTGCAAAGTCTACCTGTGCCATCAATAACACCCTCATTGCCTTCTTCATTTTGACCACCATAAAAGGTAAGCTCCCAAAAGAAAGCTCAAAGCTCAGTCCCTGACTTGATTTGTTTAGGATTTTGTAACACTTCTGCTGTGGATTAAAGAAAAAAACAATCCAACACTTAAGAATATTTTTTTAATTACACAAGTAATACAAGGTTATTACAGGAAATTTAGATAAGCTAAGAGAAAAAAATTAAAAGATGCTGAAATTCTACTAATCAGAGAGTTACTGTTAACAGAGTTGGAAAAAAAAAACAAACAGTGGGGCACCTGGCTGGCTCAGTTGGAAAAGCATAGGACTCTTGATCTTGGGGTCCTGAATTTGAGCCCCACGTTGGGTATAGAGATTACTTTAAAAAATAAACAAATAAACTTGAAAAAAACAAACAAACAAAAACTGGAAAAAAGCTTATAATGAGAATAGCAACCCTCTGCTTCTCCTCCCATGGCTTTTGCTGGTATTTACTTCCATATTTATTTATTTATTTTTTTCAAAACATTTTTAATGTTTATTGATTTCATTTTGAGAGAGAGAGAGAGTGAGCAAGCAAGTGAGCAAGCAGGGAAAGGGCAGAGAGATGGAGAAAGAGAGAATCTTAAGCAGACTCCATGCTGCCAGCACAGAGCCTGATGTGGGGCTCAAATCCATGAACAGTGAGATGAGGACCTGAGCTGAAACCAAGAGTTGAAGGCCTAACCAACTGAGCTACCTGGGCACCCTACTTCCATATTTCTAAGTAAGATCTCATACTGCTATTTCATGAATTATATGTTTTAGACATTATCTATTGTACTTCCCATATGGGAAATAAAAATTCAGCTCTTTTGTATCATATCTTCATTTCCCCCTTACAACTAATTTTCCTAGAGAAGTTATATCACAGTTTTGATTAAATCAGTAGTTGGTACCTATATTTTATGACATGGTATGTACTATTCATTTTTGGGCAAAGTAGTAACTATGACTACTTTTTCTTCCTTGTATAACCTTTTCTTCTTCCTGGGGTTAATAATTATATTTTGGGGCAGCACCTGGGTGACTCAGACAGTTAAGCATCTGACTCTTGGTTTTGGCTCAGTTCATGATCTCAGGGTTTGTGAGATTAAGCCCCACAGCAGGCTCTGTGCTGACAGTGCAGAGCCTGCTTGGGATTCTCTTCTCTCTGTCCCTGTCTCTCTGCCCTTCCCCTGCCTGTGTGCATGCTCTTTCTCTCTCTCTCTCTCTTTCTCTCTCTCTCTCTCAAAATAAATAGACATTAAAAAAATAATAACCTTTTTTTGCTTAGTCTCTTTGTACCAATCTATTTTCCCCCAGTTGTTCTGCCAGATCTATCAAGTGCCTAACAATAGTTTTTTAAAAATGCTTATTTATTTTTAGAGTTTTTAAATTTATTTTTGAGAGAGAGAGAGAGAAAGGGAGAGAGAGAGAGAGAGTGTGTGTGTGTGAGCAAGCAGGGGAGGGGCAGAGAGAGGGGAGAGAGAATCCCAAGCAGTGTGTGTGTGTGTGTGTGTGTGTGTGTGTGTGTGTGAGCGAGCAAGCAGGGGAGGGGCAGAGAGAGGGGAGAGAGAGAATCCCAAGCAGTCTCCCTCACTGTCAGCACAGAGCCCAATGTGGGCTTGATCTCACAAACAGTGAGATCATGACCTGAGCTGAAATCAAGAATCGGACAGCTGACTGACTGAGCCACCTAGGTGCCCCTAAAAAATGTTTAAATACATCAGATATTCTATCAGTTCCATTATTTATCTGAAGACTTCTCTCACACATCCTCCATCCTGGCCCGATCTGCCCTGGTCACTTCCTGGGCCTGGTGCGAAGCTGTCATACTAGGACTTCCCTTTATAATTCTCCTGTGTCGTTTCCGTTCTTCCCTGGATTCCTTCTCTCCACTAATTTTTTCCTCTGTTTTGCTAAAGTATTTCCTCTAGTAGTTTCCTAAGAAAGGGTGTACAAGATTCATATTTTGAGTCATTCTTCTTCTGAACACTGTCTTTATTCTAGTTTAGCACCAAATTGATAGTTGGGGCACAGTATAGAATTCTAGACTGGGAAAACTTTTCCTTCAGGCATTGCTTCACTGTCTTCTCGCATCCTGGTTGCTATTCAGCAGTTTGATGCCTTTATATGTAACCTAACTTTTTCTGAAAGATTTAGGATCTTCTTTTTATCTTCAGTGTTTTGAAATTTTATGATGCTATGTTTTGACATGGGTCTTCTTTCATTTATTATGCTGGACACATGGTAGGCCCTTTCAGTATGGACACCAGCGTCCTTTAGTTCTAGAGGTGTTCTTGTATTATGTTTCAAATTCTTTCATCTCTGTTTTCTCTGTCCTTTTATTTGGGACATGTATTGGATATTGGCCTTTCTTGATTGAGCTAATTTGCATATATTATTTTCAGTGGACTTTCCATCTTTTTTTGCTTATTTATTTCCTTTTAGTTTTTCTGGGATACTGCTGTGTTTTTATTTATTATTTTTTATTGGTTTTTTTTTTTTTTTTTTTTGAGAGACAGACAGAAGGAGAGAGAGAGACTCCTACCCAGGCACCCCACTGCTGTGTTTTTACCTTCTAATTCTACTATTGAATTTTTAAAATTTTTTTAAGTTTATTTATTTGTTTTGAGATAGAGAGCATGAGTGAGAGAGGGGCAGAGAGAGAGAATCCCAAGTAGGTTTTGTGCTGTCAGCACAGAGCCGGATGCCGGGCTTGAATCCATGAACCATTAGATCATAACCCGCTCGAAGTCAAATGCTTACCCAACTGAGCCACCCAGGTATCTGAATTTCTAAATTTTTAAATTACATATATATATATATATATATATATACACACACACACATATACACATACATATATTTCTTTTTAATCTGTTTTTATTTTTTTATGTTTATTTTTAAATTAAACTTTTTGCCCGATGTGGGGCTCAAACTCATGACCCTGACATCAAGAGTCACATGCTTTACTGACTGAGCCAACCAGATGCCTCTAATATTTTTATTATGTTTTAAAGTTCTTTCTTCATCTCTGGTTGTTTCTTAGAAGCATCCTGTTATTATTTATTTTATCACCACAGTATCCTCTCTTATCCCTCGGAGTTTTTGTTGTTATTGTTGTTAATTTACATCAGTTTTAAGCATAGTCCCTTTGTCTTCCTGGACCCCTATCCTCCACCTGCCCTTTTTCTTTTACTGTTTGTTTTGGTCTCTGTCTTTCACATGGGAGGATTTTCTCTTATGTTTGATGCTCTTTCCTGTTTGTCTATTATTTGAAAACTGAGGCCCTAACATGTTCTTTCAAGACTCTGTGAATGGGAAAAAAAAAAAAAGACTCTGTGAATGGGCAGTAGGCTGACCTTTTTTCTTGGAAGTATCCCTAAATATCTTCATTTATAGGTTTTCCTTCCCTCTAGAATGCTTTAGTTTTTCCAAAAAGGAATCATCCAATTTTCTGCCTAAAGGTAACCAAGATTAAGTTTTCGGTGGTATGGGGGGCTTATGTGATCAATTGCTAGAGTTGAGGGAGCAGGAACAGGGGCATGACTGATTGCAATATAGAGACTTTATGTAACCTCATTACTTTTCAGCCCACACTTACCCTCAGCCCATTACTGTGCATAGTAACCTCTAGACCTGTGCCTCTTTAGTTAGTGTTTTCCGGAACTGTAGTTTCTGGGGGTAGAGCAGAAGGTAGAAAGATGGGATATGTAGGGGTAGTCCTCTGGCTGCACAGATGGGATGTGACATGGGGTTCTGACATCTGTTTCAGCTTGATTGTCATCTCTGTACCCCCACTTTCCAAGTACCTGATGCCTTCAAGGTGCTGAGTTTCTTGGAAGTTCTAGGGGGTGAGTTGGCGTGATTTTGATTGCCGTTCCTCTCTGTAGGCCATTAAACTGATTTCTTCCATGTTGCTCAGTCATTTATCTCTCTTCCACCTGTTTTCACTATTGTATTAAACTTCATTTTGCTCTAATCTCTCTTTTGTTGTTTAAGACAAGTTTTATTTCTTTATTGTCATTTTAGTGAGGTTTTGGGAGGGAGAGAGGATATACATGTGATCAATCTACCATTTTTAAATGGAATTCTATTAGCATTTGGGATATATATTTCTAGATTTTTTCCCTCATTTTTCTTTCAGATCTTTAAATATTACTGTTGTCAGTCAACTGTTGCCACAAAAATTGTTATTTAACAAATTACTCCAAAACTCAGTGGCTTAAAACAATAAACCTTTACTTGATTCATATATCTGTAAGTCAGCCAGGGGTCAGCTGATCTAAGTTAGACTTGGGTAGGCATTTTGTTGGTTTCACTGGGATTCATTCAGCACTAGTGGCTGGCTGTAGTTTGTTAACTAGGCTGGACCCTTTTAACATGTCTGTTATCCTTCTGGACCAGGGAACTAAATTGGGCATGTTCTTCTCGTAGTGATAACAGTGGCACAACTGTGAGCAAGCCCAGTCAGGCATGCATTTTTAAGTTTCTGGTTATATCACATGTGTTTTGATCCCATTGATCAAAACAGCAGGAGTGACTTCCATCTTGTCCACGATGGGAGGGCTCTGCAAAGTTCTGTGACACAGAGCTTGAACACAGAGGGGGTGGAGAATCGAGGTCAGTAGTATAGTATAATCTACTATATATGTCAATAAACATCTAGTTTTTCATTTTTTTAAACATTTTTTTTAATGTTTACTTTTGAGAAAGAGAGAGACAGTGTGTGAGCTGGGGAGGGACAAAGAGAGAGGGAGACAAGAATTCGAAGCTGGCTCCAGGCTCCTTGCCATCAGCACAGAGCCCGACATGAGGCTCAAACTCATGAACGATGAGATCGTGACCTGAGCCCATGACCTGAGCCGAAGTGGGGTGCTTAACCAACTGAGCCACCCAGGTGCCCCACCCCATCTGTCATTTTTAATGGCTACTTACTATTCCATTGTATGTATGCAATGTGTAGAAATTCTTTAGCCAACTTCTATTGTTAAAAATAGGTAATTTTTTACTTTTCAGCTTT